ACGAGCTCGAAAAAAATTGTTAATGCTCATATATGTACATACAACTTTAAATCCAAGGATTTATCTTAAAAAAATTAATATGAACAAAGAACTGCGTGATTTTTTTGTAAAAAATGTGCATTAGCAGATTGTGATAAAATTAAAGAGAATTTTTAAGGGTCGTAATGAATATTATTCATGTCGATGCCATGATTTTTTGTTCTAGCAAAATGTACATAAGTAATAAAAACAATTAATTTGTATATGTATACTATGTATTCATTGCGAAATCCAACTCATAGTGCAATTTTTTTTTTTTTGTTTTTTTTACAGATTTTTCCTTCAAATTTTAGTCAGACTAGTGGAAAGGGTTAATTTCGCTTTGTATCACGAAAAGAAATATTTATAAAAGTGACTTTGACCTGAGAACTGAATTAAATTTGAAAATAAATTATACATATATTTATAAAACCTTGAAAACTTATATTACAGATAGAAAATTTTAATTACTAGCTTTAAAATAAATCGACCTTGCCAGGTGTCTAATGTAAGTTTTCAATTTAGATTTTACGTATTATTTTCGGTTTGTGTACAGAAAGGGGACAAAATAAAAAACAAAACATTGACTTGAATATGTTGAATATGCTCTCTCGCAGCACTACTGCTCCAAACTGCAACATTAACACATTGCATTATTTAAGATCAAGATATTATTCGTCATAGCCTCTTTATAGAAAAACTCGAAATACAAAATATTTCAAAATACATTTGTGCCTCTGTGCTGACTCTTGAAAAAAAATTTCAATGGTTTTCAATTAATATTGATAATAATTATATGTCTCCTTGTATAGTAATTTACTATGCGTGTGTATATATATATATATATATACTTTTTAAAATAATTTATTTACGCATTTTATAATAATTTCCGAATAAACATAGCTTGCACGCTCCTCTATTTCTCAAAAGCCTTGGAGCTTTCACTTTTCCTGCAATAATTGTTATAGCATAATGACGGGCTGTGTTACACAGCTGACAAAAATAATACAGCTCTTACATATCGTACAGGTAATTGGTGGAGACCGACATTTTTTTGTGTTGTATTCCGCAACTCTTTCGCGCTTGGATGACTATACGTATATCGAAGTGTTTTTTTTCGTCCCACTTTTTTGAAAAAGTGCCCTAATCTAATTGATTTCGGTCATTGAATACAATGACGGGTGATGGCATCGCTGACATTTGACATGATAAATGCTTCTTAAAAAAGGACTACTTTTTATTTTGTACATCCAAACATGAAAGACAACAACACGAGATTTTTCACATACACTCTATACGAGAACACATAAATTTCTGTTTACTTGTACGAGGTGGTGTTTGTTATATTTTAAACATGGATGCCGTAATGCACGGATAACGTATTTTACTTTCTAAATGCATACGAGATATTCGTCAGGATTGATTAAGTGTAGGCTCGAATAATTTATCAAATCTATACGATTCACACAAACGAGGACATATCGTAGCGATACAGTCTCGAAACTCCTTCCTTCCCATTGGTAAATCACAGCACGGCGATGAATTTCAATGAATTTTCAAAGAGTTTTTGCTTTCATAGTCAAAATAATACTCTTACAAAAATTCTATGATACATACCAACTGTCTCCTCCTTGCGCTATCTTCTTATAATCTATGAATATGTATATATAATGAAAATCCATTTAATTAGCCACTGGCTCAAAGAACATCATTGGAGTGTGGGAAGATTGAGTACGTTTTACTCATACACTTATAAGAGACGGACAATTTGGTTATGAGCTAGAGATATAGAGTCGGAAGTGACTACAATTTGCGATAATGGTCTTAGGTAAGTATATGTATATGTATGTATATTATACGTCAATGGATGCCATTTGTGACTTGACGAAGATTCGCTTTGTTAAACGCGCAGATGCTGCCGAGCAGTGCTGAGCGCTCGTTCGACGCAGCTGTTGATTTTGTTGTTGATACTGGCACATTGATTTTTGCCATTGCTGGCATCGGAGGTGGTGGCGGACACAATTTAGTTTTAAGTTCTTTGGAATCTTTAGATTGCACTTTAGTAGAACCTTAAAATCACAAAATTGTTGAAAATTTAAAATAATCGTTGATGCTCACATACTTGTTTTTGTTTTTACGAACGGCCAAAACAATCATTACATCTTATATAATATAATATATAGTACAAAGGAACTCTAAATACCAAATCTACGAAAAAAATAATTAGTATGTACAAAAATCATACAATTACGGAAAAATAATAAATAATCATGATTATAAACTGACTAAAAATAAAAAAAAATGAAATTCTAGGACTACAAAATTATGACAGGTCAAGATAACATCATAATACGATAAGACAACGAAAACATAGCTAAAAATAACAAATAGTATAAATAATAAATGATAAATATACAGCAATTTACAAGCATTCCATCAATGAAATATTAAACCTGTCGAATGATCTGCGCGACACCACCGATCGTAAATTATGCCATCAACTTCTGTGTCCAGCTTTTGTTATTTGTTAGATTCATGAATACAATGAAATTTCAACGTTTCATTAAATAAATAAATACAAAAATAGAAAAACTTACCGTGAGTCGGCGGTGTAAGGGTACCCACGCTTGTTGCCGTTGAAGTACTGGTTGGACTGTCACAAACCTCTGGGCTTTTGCCGTTAATCTGTTTTGTTCCGTTTGCTGCAAGTTGATTGGCTGTCCGCTCTTGTGCTAACTTTTGCTCTTTTTTCTAAAGTTCAGATAAAAATCAAACATTGAAATCCGATGAAAATAAAAAAATGAAAAACTTACGTATTCAATTCAGTAAAAAAAAAATTTACGCACCAATTTGTGTTTGCGTTTCTTCATCTCCTCTTCGGAACTCATCATTTCTTGAACCTTGATAAGTCTCTTCTGATGCCTAACTACTTTCTGCTCGTCCTTTAGTCTCAACTCGGCTTTATTGGTCGCCTCGGCAAGTGCATCCTTCAGATGACTGCTGAGTTTGAAATGCGGTTTTTCCACGTTACTGGCATTGGAACAATTATTTTGTCTCGCCATTTCAAAGAACGGGTGTTCCAGTAGCTGAGCAACCGTTGGAAGATCTAGCTTCAAGGCCTCGTGAGATAAAATGACTTCCAAAAGGCTTTTCAACTTTGCATCACAATACGGTAAGTCCGAGGCTCCAGTAGTGGCTTCCAGTAGAGGTCTGCCAAAGGCCATCTCGTACAAAACGTGTCCAAACGCGTACACGTCTACTTGAGTCTGTAACAACAATGTTTTTACAATCTAATAAACGATGATAAAAACCCTAATTTAAATAAAATTCATCAAAGTTTTTCAACATGCATGCATAAATAATAAGCTTACGGTCGCATGTAATTTTCGCCTTTGAACTACGTATGGTCTATAAAATGCGGGTAAACCTAAAAGGCCATTTTCTACATCTAATAATCTCGCTCCGGTAGGAGTTAATAGAACATTTCCTGTGTGTAGATGTCCATAGGGCAAACCTTTTTCATGGAGAAAACTAAGTGCTTCCAGTATCTAAAAATCAAACATAGGTCACTGATAAACTATAATTTCTTAAACACACTTTAAAAAACTAGAATTATTTAACACACCTGATACCCATAGTTGGCAATTTCGGTGGGTGTCAATGAGTTGGTCTGTTTTGGATTTCCATACTTCTTGATGAAAGATTGCTTAGGCTTGGCATAGCACAGAACGTCCCTTAACGTGCCATCTGGATGAAAATTGCGAATGATCAAAGCACCGTTTTCGGTAACATGCTGATGGACCATTGGTTCGATATAAACATGTCTGAGACTGCCAAGACTCTTGAACACTCCCTGCATATCTTTGTCCTGAAGATGTTTGTCCGGTCCAAACTCAACCCACGCCAAAAGCAGATCCTGCTTGGGGTTCTGCTTATTTTTGACGGTGTAGTAGTGCTTTCTGAGTCGCCAACCCATGTCGGGTATGGCCTTGCCGACCTCGAAATTGGCATCGCTGCGCAACGCCAGTGACACCTGCTGCAGTGCTATTTCTGTTGTTGTGAAACAAGAGAGCACACGTATGTCATCAATCAAGCCATTAAGCCGCTTAGTCTTCAAGAAATCAACAAGCAGAAATGTATTGGTAAAAATATATATATAAACTTTATACACTCACCGTGCAGAGGTGCCGTATAGTTTTCTGGATCAAGGAATTTTTTGGTGGGCAACGACGAAGCAAGTATTGGATTCATTAGTATGCAGTTTAGATAACTCTGAAACAATGACAATAATAACAAAGAGTCACTCATGACAACATTAAGGAATGGTAAAAAAAAAAAAGGTACTTGTGCACGGAATTTTTATTGACAGTACCTGTAATGCAGCCTGTCTCTGAGCTACAAAGTCAGGTTCCATATTACCGAGGATCTTCTTTGGTGGAAGAGGCAAGTTAAGCCCAGAGGCCGACAGCATGGAGTGCAGTTGAACGAAGTCATTGTAACGCCTACAGACACGCCAGGAATTATCAGGTAGTGGTCCCCTTTGAGTCCTAATTACGTACTCCTATAAATATGACAGGTATCACGCATATAAACACACAAATTAGCACTTAATATTAGTATCGACTTTATTACTGTACACAGTGTACACATGGATACACAAACACATCTATGGATATGCATATATATATATATATAGATATATATATACAAAGGTACTAACGGTGTGGGCGTCGATAGTGCGGGCATTCTCGATGATGCTGGTGAGGATCTCGGTGTCGTCGAGCAGCACCTTATTCGTGTAACTCTTCTGAAAGAGAGCCATCGGTGCTGAGGCGCATGTTAAGCGCTCTCGCGGCAATAACCTGCCGCCTCTAGTGCTAGCTATACAGTTGTTGCTGCTGCTTGTCAGCCGCGACGACGACGAACTGCTGTTGGTTGATAACACTTGGATGCTTTGTACATTTACTTTTCTTTCACATTCACGCTTAAATTCACACTAGCTGCTACCACAGTCCTGAGTCTACACATGCATAAGTGTATTTGCACATTGCAGGTCTAGGTGTGTATGAACACCTCATCTTCATTACCTCACTCAAGTAACTCAACCGACTGTAGTTTCGATTTGATTATGTCGGAAACTAATACGTCTACTTAAATTGAAGGTATCGTGAAGAATTGAAGATGAATCATGACACGATCAACACATTGTTGCACACTATTAATTCACAATAACTAGCTAAGTAGCTAGGGTACACTTTACACTGTACGCACTGTGCACACATATGTTGAGACTGAGAAAGTACAAGTGTGTAAGTATATGTGTAATATTTGTTTATTATCACTATTATCAGGAATATCAGAATTACGGAAGCCCGGTCACGATAACATCTGCATAAAAACGCATAAGCACGCACAAGAACAAGAGTATGAGTGCACAAAAAAAACGTACCGTGTACGACTCTTACGACTCTTACGGTCTTACGAGTGCACAGAAACACGTATACCTATATCGTATACGACGTACTTACGACGTACGATACGACATGATACGAGTCATACGACTCATACGAGCGAGTGATGCATTGCATGCACGGAAGCGCGCGCACACAACAAGTTGCAAAGCAGACGCTTTCTATTTCATTAGGTTTGTTCAAGTCAATTCTCGGTGAGACTCGGAGAGACTCTGGGAGTCTCCGAGAATGGAATGAACAAGTGTTCTTCTCCGAGTGTCTCGGAGACAAACGAGTCTCACCGAGAATTGGTTTGAACAAACCTATTTACTTAAGTACAGCTTATATATAATTGTTACATCGTTACATGGGAAAGAGATAAATATATATATATATATATGCGCGACACCACCGATCGTAAATTATGCCATCAACTTCTGTGTCCAGCTTTTGTTATTTGTTAGATTCATGAATACAATGAAATTTCAACGTTTCATTAAATAAATAAATACAAAAATAGAAAAACTTACCGTGAGTCGGCGGTGTAAGGGTACCCACGCTTGTTGCCGTTGAAGTACTGGTTGGACTGTCACAAACCTCTGGGCTTTTGCCGTTAATCTGTTTTGTTCCGTTTGCTGCAAGTTGATTGGCTGTCCGCTCTTGTGCTAACTTTTGCTCTTTTTTCTAAAGTTCAGATAAAAATCAAACATTGAAATCCGATGAAAATAAAAAAATGAAAAACTTACGTATTCAATTCAGTAAAAAAAAAATTTACGCACCAATTTGTGTTTGCGTTTCTTCATCTCCTCTTCGGAACTCATCATTTCTTGAACCTTGATAAGTCTCTTCTGATGCCTAACTACTTTCTGCTCGTCCTTTAGTCTCAACTCGGCTTTATTGGTCGCCTCGGCAAGTGCATCCTTCAGATGACTGCTGAGTTTGAAATGCGGTTTTTCCACGTTACTGGCATTGGAACAATTATTTTGTCTCGCCATTTCAAAGAACGGGTGTTCCAGTAGCTGAGCAACCGTTGGANATTAACTTTATACATATATTTACTTTGGATTTTATCATTCTGGTAAAGAGAGCACGGTGAAATTATAATTAATCACTACTAATAAGTGCCATATGGTATGGTCGATTTTATTAAACCATATAAGTGGATCTATACTTTTGGAGGTCGATTTTTGGGTAAAAAATAAATAGTAAACTTGCCGCAAATCAAATCTTCAAGGTTAATTTTGTATTTTCTATCCTAATATTAGTTTCGGCTGGTTTATAAATAATTAAATGGCTCTACTGTTAGTAATAATAATTATTTGGATTAGCGTCATCTAGCGTTGCGGATTTCTGAACTAAAAAGTGGCCTTCTGAACCAGAGCTTTAGCGCTTAGACCTAGAGCCATTTAGTCAATTATAAACCAGCCGCAACTAATCTTACAGATACAAAAACCAAAAGTTAATGATGTTTGTGCTATTTGCGGCAAGTATACAGTTTATCTTTTACCTGATACTTTTACCCGATGAAAACTTGAATGTCCTTTGACTTTTCGCAAAAAAGCCGAGAACCGAGAAATTTAATACCGCTAGATGGCGCTGATCGACAATAACTCAAATTTTTTTTATAATTCATAAACAAACTTTCCGAATCGTTTATCAGTGAAACTTGAGTCATCACGGAAATTTTTGAAGTTTGTTTATATCAGCGGAACAGCCCAACAGTTAATAAACAGTCGAGAAGGTGTGTCGTGTGTCTCACCAGTCAACTTACTTGCTCCTGCTCTGCTCGAAACTCGCGTAGTGCGGTCGCGGGATTCGAACCGCGGTAAGTATAATTATCCGTATATACCTATCCCCGATCCCCAACTTTTAGCCACCTCGCGCTCTGTGTTGTAGGTATCTATATAACAGTTCTCTTGCAGACTTGCATCACTCTTTTGCCTTGGCTCTGGTATCGAGTCTCGAGTCAGCTCGAGTCGTCATCGTGCCCCGTCGAATATTGTCGTGGTGGTCGTCGAGGCTTTTAAATCGATAAAGACTAAACAGGAGACGTCAGTCAACATAAATAGTGTGTTGTGTGTGTGCGCGGGTGTGTGTACGTTATAATCCTGACAACTATTTGTTGTTGAACACCATAAGGACAATAAGAAAAAATCATGGACAAGGACGAGGAGCCCCGAGATTTTGGTGCAGGCGAAGGCGCGTGCGGTCCGTCGTCGTCGGCCACGGCTTCGTTCTCCTTAGCTGATCAACAGTCTGGCGAGGCTGGCAAGTCCGCCATCGAGGTCGTCGAGGACAACTATGGCTGCGAGCACTACAAGAGAAAGTCCAAGTTTGTGGTGAGGATAATATATATACCCACTTATTGACGACGATATGCCTGATTCCTTGGTCGCTTTTTTTTCCTACCAAGCGCTACACGTGCTTGTACCTCAGAAATTTCATCCTTATCCACCATGTTTTATTTTATTTAATTTTTCTACCCCTTCTCCTCTCCAACCTTATGGCAATTCGAGTGTACCTGCCGTGTTGTGGGTTTATCATTGATTTCTCAGGGAAAACTTTTTCTTGCATGCTCCTTTCCATTTAACCCAGATGCAAATGCATTTTTACGTAATGACGACGCAGCTGCACGCACACATCAAAGAGATCTCCCAAACGATGGTCCATGGAGCTATATACCTACAGCTCTTTTCGAAGATTGCGCCACTTTGAGTTGTGTAATCTTTTCTTTTTTTTTCTCCCACAGGTACATAATTAATTCGTCTTTCAATTGAATGTTTTTTTACAAGACCAAGTCGCGTGGATGCTGTAATGGGCGTGTACATATATGGTCACAAGTTCGCCGTTCGGCGGGCATCAGTTTGTCCTTTTTTTTTTCTTCATCATTCGTTCGTTCGTATATGTGATGACCATATAGAATTTTTTTTACGCAATATGCGTATGCATGAGGCTGGACCGATTGTTTATACTTTCGGTAAAAGAGTGGGGACTACAGGTGACCCAATAATCTTTGATACTTATGTACAATTTTTTTCTGTACTCTCCACACCTACAATACTTCTTACATTGTTGCTCAAGTTTTAATTAAGATCGATCTTTATTGACAATATATTGTTCATGGTTTTATTTATATTTTCTATAAATCATATTGCAGATTGAGCGTTTATTGTCGTAATAGAAAGAATAAATTCATCGTGGTAAAATATGTCTATTATCGATTAAGAGAAAAAGAGAGAAAACGAATGGATGATAATTCTAACATTTCTAACCTTTTATTCGTGTACGTAAATGTATTCGTGTGTATGCGTGTGCATGAGTAATGCCTGTGTCAATTAATTGGCACAAATGCCTTTCATTCAGTGCAACGTGAATAAAAAAAGCTTCCAATCGCTGTTACTTCTGCTGCCTAACCGGAACGTATTCAATAGCAATTTACACAGCAAATATCAAACTTTACTTAACTGTATTATTGATTTTTTTAAATTTCAAATATAACTTGCTCTGTATATCACCTTGTTTTAATTTATCATGTAACAATAATCAATTGTTTCGTTGAAAAAATACTTAAATTCTTAAAAAACACCATTTTTGATTGTTCATGTTCCATATTTATTTTTCCTACAAATTTATTTTTAATAAATACTCTCTGGAGTCTAAATTGAAAGTTGTTTGCACAGATGTTGTTCAAATTCACTTTAATGGTGTTTTGCAACAATTGCGGCGTTTCCGGTGGGGTTACTTACCACTGGAATTAGCCTTGCACGCCCCTGCGGACCAATGTATAGCTTTCGCCACACTGTCTAAGTGAAGAACAGCCAGTAGTTTTAGTTTCGGTACTCGGATTCTAGAAAACACAATCGCAATCTCAATCCGCACACTATCTAAATTTTGCCAATTCAGTGTGAATTCCACTTGTGGAATTGGTCAAATCTGGAAACATTTCACATAGCCACGTCAACGTTAAAAATCGATGGTTGCTTGTGTTAAACTCTGGAACAATCCAGGTGAAACTCGGCAATGGGGCTTCAAACTAATAAATTTTAAATGTTGCTAATGGCATATAAGATCGAATTCCACCAGTTGATTCTGCAGGAATTATAATCGTTTAAAGATACTCGATAAAAACATGAATTAACATAAATATTGATTTATTGATATCTTCGCTAATGTTGCATTATTAAGGAAAGATCTTAAATTCGTCAATTTCAGACGCCGTGCTGCAACAAAGTCTACACGTGCCGCTTCTGCCACGACGAGCACGAGACCCACTCGGTCAAGCGAAAAGAGGTGACGGAGTTGATTTGCACGCTCTGCGAGACCCGCCAGCCGGTACAGGCTACCTGCCAGAAATGTCATGTACGCTTTGGCAAGTACACTTGCCTAGAGTGCAATCTTTTCGACGACGAGGACAAGAATCAGTATCATTGCGACGGATGCGGTATCTGCAGGCTCGGTGGTCGCGACAGATTCTTTCACTGTGCCAAATGCAACATGTGTCTGCCCATCGAACTCCAGAACGGCCATAAGGTGGTTTTTTTATTTGTTAATTTCTTACATAATTTAGAGATCACGTACGTGTATCACAGAATTTGACAAACGTATTTTTTTTCTTATTGTTTGTAGTGCGTCGAAAATGTTTCACATGCAAACTGTCCAGTGTGTCTTGAAGATATTCACACCAGTCGCATTCCCTGTCACATTCCCAATTGTGGACATTTACTGCATCGTACCTGTTTCCAAGATCTGTTGCATTCGGGTCATTACGCGTGTCCAACCTGTCAGGTATCACTGCTTGACATGACTGATCTCTGGTTGTTTTTGGACAAGGAAGTCAACCTTACCCCAATGCCACCAGAGTACAACAATTACAAGGCTGATATTCTGTGCAAAGATTGTCATGAGGTCTGTTTCTTACTTTCTTTCTTACCAACTCGACTTGCATAAGCCAATTAGCGGGCTTTTGTTTGGCTATAGTTCTCAAGGGTGCGATTTTCATGGTTTTATCTCTCTCCTTTTTTTTTTTTTTTTTTTTTTTTTTATAATATTTTGCAGGAATCAACCGTGAAATTTCACGTGGTTGGACTGAAGTGTTTAAAGTGCGGTAGCTACAATACATGTCGAATCAAGGGATCTCCTTGCCCAGGTGCGTTAAACAATTCACGTAGACGGACGTAGTTACGAGAACTGCTGCTGATGATGGTGTAGATAATGCTGCTGCTGCTGCTGCTACTACTGCTATGCCAACAAACATACACAGCAACAATACTCGATCACACACACGTTTCGCGATGTTTGCTCTAAGATTTAGCAGCAAACGGATTTTTAGTAGCACGAAGTGTTAAGCAGTGGAGCAGAGAATGAAAAGTTCTTAAATAAAAGGCACAGTTTAAAGAATGATACAAAAAAAGAGAAAAAAAAAAAAGACAAAATAAAAGGACAAACGAAAAAAAACGTCTCAACAACAGCATTCCGTTTCTCTATCTCATTTTTCGTTTGTTTTCACATGATAACGTGCGTCGATGTAGCTATGTTTTTTTTTCTGTTTTTTTCTCTCAACAGACCCGGAATCTCTGAACGCGGTTGCGGCTAGTGGTAATTGGATGGGCGGTGGCGAGGACCATTCACCGTCGCAAGGATCGCAGGCGCAGTAGCAAAAAGCGCGTAGACGTTGGACGGCCGCGACGACTCGCTTCTTGTGCATGGTTCTCAGGCGTTTGTTTTTGCACAAGTGATGAGGTTATATCCATTTGAACCCCAGCTACACTATCTACTTTTTCCTATTCCTAGATATATATACACAATGCATTGATGACTGTGCACGTATTTTCAAATTTAGTGTGTCATGACGCTTTTTATTATATAATGTACACCCTTGTCATTCGATTAGAACAAATTTGAATTCAGGATTTTGTACTAACTTTTTTTTTTATTAATTTTTTACTCCATGTACACTGAGTGAGAAAAAGTTTTTTATGTTGCAGTGAACTAGGTATTGTATTATAATAGTTCTACATTGTAATAATATTACTTTTATTCTTATTTACGCGTGATAAAATTAAAATTCAAAGTATAATTTACTTGTGAGAATCTGATAAAACTTTTGTTTTGCAGGAAACATTTTCCATGCTATTAAATCTTATCATTTGAAAACGATTCAAGTATACCAAAATATACTTGTAAATGACCTTTGAATAAAGTAATTAAACCTAAACTTGTATGAGTCAGGATATTCCTAAGCTTATTTTGTTTTGTCATCTTTATTTTACTAGCAATAGTAATTATGTATCAATACATCCTTTATCATCAATATAATACAGCGAGTAAAGTAATAATGTATATTAAGGCTCTAATATTGTATAGTGTACACTTGAAGTTGGATTTTTTTGTTATTTTAACTGTCATTCTTTGTTGTGCAGACACAACAGTCACATTAGTTGGTCAACATTTTTAGTAGTCATTATCGACACAAATAGAGCGACGGCAAACTGAATCAATATTTTATAAAACATACGCATAACAATGAAACTTATAACAAAGTATTTTAACATTTTTTATTGTAGCACTGAACTCATTTATTATTGGCATTGAGTATATTCGTGACTACCGTATTATGTATAACTAATCGATATCTCTGATAACGGGTTGCAACTGTATTCAACTACATATTTATATTGTAAGTGTACTACTACTTGATGCAGATAAAAGAATAACAAATGTGTAATCGGTTATACCTACTGAATGGCAGTTATGTTTTGTACCATAATAGTTTGGAGCATTCCTTTTTAATTAATCAAACATTTATCTGCATTTTAAAGTTTTTGTACTTCTTTAATTTTTTAAAGAATCAAAGTTCTTTCATTATAATGAAAATAAGCAATCGTGTGTACATAGACTAGTGAATAAAAAAATATTCTTATTTCTTGTTGAGTTATAGTTGTTGATTAAATTTCAGATTTGTAATCTAATAATGTAAAGGAATAGATGAAAAGTTGTGTGAGGGGAAAAGATAATAAAAACCAAAGGACATAATTACAAAATGTGCAAATGTTTTTTTGAAACATATGTTAAAGTACACATTACTCGCAAATTCAGCATAAGTCAACGAAATTATGTTTCTCAGCAAAATATGTAAATGTATTTTTTAGTTGAATATAAAAGTTTTCACTCCTACCGACTCGTGTCAAGCTAAATATTTCTTCACATATACTTATTTGCAGCTGCGTTTCATCATCATATTTACTAAAAAGTTCCTTCACAGACCAAACACTAGGTTGCTGTTTTAAAAAAGAAGGCAAAAATAAATAGATTAATAATTTAACACTAAATGATTAAGTGTTGTGCGTTGCAGTCTAGATTGGCTAAGTCACGTAGAGCGCAGCCAATGCAATGCAGTTTAACTGCAACTGCAGTCAGCAGAAATAAATACAAATACAAGATAAGTAGAATATTTATACTTTTAGAGGTCGATTTTCGGGTAAAAGATATATTGTAAACTTGCCGCATGTGTCTCCACGTTAACTATTTATTTTACAACCATACAATCAGTTGCGGCTGGTTTATAATTAATTAAATGGCTCTACTATGAGTAGTAATAATTATTTGGATCAGCGCCATCTAGCGGTCTTCATTTTTTAGCGAAAAGTGGCCTCTAAAATTCTCAATCAGAGCAATCGGGCTTAGAGCAATTTAGTCAATTATAAACCAGCCGCAACTCATGACGAAGCTATAAAATAAAAAAATAACAATACACGTGTTTTTGGCGGCAAGTTAACAATTTATCTTATACTCGAAAATTTATCTTCAAAAGTATAAATACATAAGAGGTCGATTTTTTGGTAAAAAAAGATTGTTAACTTGCCGCCAAAAACACATGTATCGTTATTTTTTCATTTTATAGCTTCATCATGAGTTGCGGCTGGTTTATAATTGACTAAATGGCTCTAATTCTGATTGCTCTGATTGAGAATTTTAGTGGCCACTTTTGGCCAAAAAATAAAGACCGCTAGATGGCGCTGATCCAAATAATTATTCCTATTTACAGTGAAGTCATTTTATTAGTTATAAACCAGCCGCAAATAATCTTCGTGAATAGATAAAAAATAGTTGACATTTTTTATGCTACTTGCGGCAAATTTACAATTTATCTTTTACCTGAAAATCGACCTCCAAAACCATGAATATTCTACTTATCTTATATGGCTCATATAATCGACCACATTTACAAAATAACAATACTTAAAACTTTTTACTATTAACTCGTGGAAGCACAAATTAATCAGTATGAAAGAGACAACTGAAGAAAAAAGGCCTGAAAAAGAAGCACAGTCACACGAAAAGTCTCCTAGTAAACAAAGAACCCAACCTTCTCTGATCAAGTGAGATCCAATGCTCCATTCTTTTAAGAATGGAGCAAGGAGCATATCAGCTTTATCAGCAAATCAGCATATCTCACAATCTCACTTGATCAGGGAAGGTTGGGTTCTTTGTTTACTTATTAACACTTAAAATTTACATCTCTGTAATAAATGTATTTTTCAATTAGTGAGATCCGATGCTCCATTCCTAGGAGACTTTTCGTGTGACTGTGCTTCTTTTTCAGGCCTTTTTTCTTCAGTTGTCTCTTTTAAACTGATTAATTTGCGTATGTACTTGATCGTTATTCACGATTTCTTTAACACAAATTTTGCTATGTACATATTATATAAGTTAACTGTTTATTAGAAATCTAAAGTTAAAGGGCTGTTCTTTCATTAGTTAATGGTAAAACGTCTAGAGCATTGGAATTTTGTAAATATTGTCGATTTTATGAGCCTTACAAGATAAGTAGAATATTTATGGTTTTGGAGGTTACTTTTTGGGTAAAAGATAAATTGTAAACTTGCCGCAAGTAGCATAAAAAATGTTAACTATTTGTCGTCTATTTACAAGATTATTTGCGGCTGGTTTATAACTAATAAAATGACTTCACTGTAAATAGGAATAATTATTTGGATCAGCGCCATCTAGCGGTCTTTATTTTTTGGCCAAAAGTGGCCACTAAAATTCTGAATCAGAGCAATCAGGATTAGAGCCATTTAATCAATTATAAACCAGCCGCAACTCATGATGAAGCAATAGAATAAAAAAATAATGATACATGTGTTTTTGGCGGCAAGTTAACAATATATTTTCTACCAAAAAATCGACCTCCTATGTTTTTATACTTTTGAAGATAAATTTTTGAGCATAAGATATATTGTTAACTTGCCGCCAAAAACTTACGTATCGTTATTTTTTTATTTTATAGCTTCGTCATGAGTTGCGGCTGGTTTATAATTGACTAAATGGCTCTACGCGCTAAAGCTCTGGTTCAAAAGTTTAGGGCCACTTTTTAGTTCAGAAATTCGCAACGCTAGATGGCGCTGATCCAAATAATTATTACTATATTTATAGTAGAGCCATGTAATCAATTATAAACCAGCCACAACTAATTTTATAAACACAAAATAAAAATTTGACGATATCTGTGCTATTTGCGGCAAGTTTACAATACATGTTTTACTCGAAAAAATTAAAGAGAAACAATGCATCCTCTGCAGTTACATTAAGCGACGTTTGATCCAAGTAATTAAGACAACCGACAACATTTGCTGGAACTATTTGTCTTCTTGTCCTAATCCTATAATTCCTATAGAGGATTAATAATTGAATTGTGATGGCTTTGTTTCATTAAAATGTTTTCTATCTTGAAAATTTTGTAGCATCAATTGGAGATGAATGGAATAAAAATAAACGGTTGAAATATGCATTAAAAAAATTGATACCTTTATTCAAAACACTAATAAGTGATAAGGAAGTTCATACTAATTATTATTAAAGTATACAATAATATATAAGATAGGCAAAATAATGGGATATAAACATCGTTCATTCATGTAACCTAATAAATTTACTGTGCCAATGATTTACATGCATAAGTATATGGCTAATAGTATAAAAAAGGAAAGTCAATACACTTTTTTTCTTTTAATATCTAATGTGAACGATGCTCCAGTTTCTGGATGAATTTTTTTCTGCAATAAATTATCACAAAATTGTTGAAAAAATTAAAAATGTTTTTAAATGTTCAACTTTTATGTTACATCTACTATTGAGCTGAAGATTTCAACAATCAAATCTGGTCTTGTAGCTTTTAGCTTTTCATATCCAGCTGTTTCCGTCCCTTGTGCTACATTCAAAGCAATATACTCCATGACCTTTATTTTCAATGTGCTGGCATCGTGATCATCTGCTGTCAACAAAAGGCTTGAAGCATTGGAAATATTTAATCCATGGAGAAAATTATTTTCACACATAAGTTTCAGTCATTTTAAATCAAAGCTATTTGCAGCAGCTAATAACTCAAGAGTATACGATTCAAAATTTTCAACTTTGCCACTATAGCTGTAATTTAATATTTTTCACACATCACCTCATAAGTAAAACCATTGATTTCTCTCAGTTCTTCACAGTCACACGAAGAGTCTCCTAAGAATGGAGCATTACATCTTACCAAATAAAAAATACATTTATTACAGAGAAGTAAATTTAAAGTGTCATAAATAAACAAAGAACCAAACCTCCATTTGTTAACCACCAATTATAAACTAGCCGCAAATAGCACAAACAACTTTAACTTTTTATTGTCTATCTGTAAGATTAGTTACGGCTGGTTTATAATTAATTAAATGGCTCTACTATGAGTAGTAATAATTATTTGGATCAGCGCCATCTATCGGTATTCATTTTTTAGCGAAAAGTGGCCTCTAAAATTCTCAATCAGAGCAATCGGGCTTAAAGCTGTTTAATTAATTATAAACCAGCCGCAACTCATGACAAAGCTATAAAATAAAAAAATAACAATACACGTGTTTTTGGCGGCAAGTTAACAATTTATCTTATACTCGAAAATTTATCTTCAAAAGTATAAATACATAAGAGGTCGATTTTTTGGTAAAAAAAGATTGTTAACTTGCCGCCAAAAACACATGTATCGTTATTTTTTCATTTTATAGCTTCATCATGAGTTGCGACTGGTTTATAATTGACTAAATGGCTCTAAGTCCGATTGCTCTGATTGAGAATTTTAGAGGCCACTTTTGGCCAAAAAATAAAGACCGCTAGATGGCGCTAATCTAAATAATTATTCCTATTTACAGTGAAGTAATTTTATTAGTTATAAACCAGCCGCAAATAATCTTGTAAATAGAAGACAAATAGTTAACATTTTGTATGCTACTTGCGGCAAGTTTACAATTTATCTTTTACCTGAAAATTGACCTCCAAAACTATAAATATTCTACTTATCTTATATGGCTCATATAATCGACCACATTTACAAAATAACAATACTGAAACTTTTTACTATTAACTCATGGAAGCACAGTCCTTTATTTTGTAGTTCCAATAATCAATTAACTTTTACAATAAGTACATAGCAGTATTTCCCACACTGATTCTCCTGACAGTGCTGAATTACCCTCGCGACCAAAATAACTTGCTAAAGTTGTAGTATCATCATATAACTTCACTACTCCAAAGGACAAACGAAGAATTAATTTCATCTCTCCCGCCTGCAAATCGAAGGATTATCTAGTCCAACCTGGTCATGGCCACACTGACTCTTTTTTGGAGAGCCTACTTATAGCCAAAGTGAGAAGACTGAGAAGAAAATCAAGTGTTTGATGACAACGTGCCATTTTTGACCTGCTGTTTGTAGAAATTAAGTAGTCAAATAAATCTAAAGTCGAATTGAAAATTGCAAAACAAAACTGGAACTTTATTAAATATTGTAGGCAACTACAAATTATTCAACAAAGAAAAAAAGGATTTTTTTTCAGCATAAACCCAAAAATGTAAGATAAATTTTATTCATTACGAAAGCTCACAATTTTTGTTATTTTTACCAATAAAAAATCTGGAACTGATGCAGTATTTTAATTATTCGGTCCTTTTCGTCCTATTAAAAAAATGGTCATAGGCAGAAAAATGAAAAAATCAGTATGTACACGTTTTTGCGTGATGAATGCCACTTTTATTTGTTTTGTTGTAAATTAAATATTATCAATTTGTACATAATATTATACATATAATATAATATTCTATCAAATAGCTATAATTTTTTTTTATCATTAATCTATACNAAAAGAAAACTGCTGTCAGCTAAGAAGAAAAAGTTTTATAATAAACAAATATACAAAAAAAAACAGTTTTAAGTAAAAATTCACTGAATAAAGTAGTACAAAAAACGTAAAGATGACGCGTACACGAGTCTCGATCTCTTCACGCATTTAAAAAAGTTCATCTACAAAAAACTTGGATAATTTAATTATATTATGAGACGAGAAAGCTCGTGAAACGCGTTTGCTATGACTATTATAAATTATTACAACTGCTTTTACGCATTCATTTGGACTAAATTGATTCGCGCGCTTTCGCAAAGCGGAAGGAGAGCGCCCCATTTTACAATTTTTCTTTAATATCTTATCGCCACACGTTCGTTTGTACACGACACTTTTTTTTGTTTCTGTTTGTCAGCTTTTCTTTTTTTATGTTTATCATTATTATTCTCATTCATTCACACATCTGACGAAACGCGCAATGTAAAAAATATTTATATTCAAAAAAAGGACTCTATTATAATTTCTCTTCCGTAGTTTTTGTTTTTGCACTAACAATCACAAGATTGGTTGACTCGCTTATGTGACTTGGTTTTTTTTAAACCGATCATTACAGTCCATTTACATTTAATTCATTAAATACATTTTTAATCAGTCGTGGGGAGTCCCTCCTCTTTTGTAACACGTAAAAAAAAGAGTATGTGGGTAAATATATATATATGTGTATGCGTCATCTTCATCTCTATCACGATATAGTGATGGGGCAGATTTAGAGTAATACAGCTGTGTCGCTTGGCACAAGCAGTTATGACCAACTATATTGTTGCATGAATCTTCAATTGGCGCTCGTAGACAACGATGATGACGACGACGACGATTGTTCCAAAGAGGGAGACGGAGGAGGGGACGACGACGAGGAGGACGATGAATTGGCAGAAGGTCAGAAATTGAGGGAGCGCGGCCTCAGAGTATTGTAGCCGTGCATCGTCAGAAACTGACGGGCCGCCTGTGTCATCTCGACCTGGTCGCGTGTCCTGCCACAAGCTACCGCCGTCCATTGAACTTCCAGTTGGATCTGAAACAATTTTTGAGACAATCAAATCAGCTCCTTATCATTTTAACATGGTGTTTTTGTACGTATCGTATTTGATGTTCAGCATTGTACATGTAGTTTATACAAACCTCCCTAAAATACCATCGTTTTCACAGCTCAAGGATATAAGCATTGAAATATATTTTGGGACACGGGATGTATAAAAATAACACTCACTTCATACGGTTAGCAAAGAAAAAAAAATACGGCAAAACATCAGCATAACAGATTTTGCCAACCAACTGTGCGCAACGCAAAAAAAAAAAAAAAAATTAAAAAAGCGGAAAATACAAGAGATTAACACAACAGTATGGTGACGGTGTTCTTCCCAAACGGATGGTTTTTTTTTTTCGTGTGATGGTAAATGTTGTTGAGTAAAAAAATGAGGTGCGTGTGTGTGCAGATCGAAGAGATGTTAAAGCTAGACGCTGCAGACACTCACCTTCGTACGTTTGGATGGCACCAGACTACTATTGTTAGTCGCGTTAGTGTAGTCGCTGGGGCAGTCGAACGTGTCGAACGATATAGCTCTCTTGGCGTTGGATTTCCGCTGTACTATGGGCGCAAAGTCGTGGGAGTTCTGGAAAGGAATAGACACACTAGCTACAGCCGGCAGTTCGCTTCCGATTGATAAATTTACAGTAATACATTGAAAATAGAAAAATAATTTGCGTTCGTTTAAAACAAAACTATTTTTTCTTTCTTTTTATTTATAGCGGCGAGTACGAAAAGAGAAATATTACGAAAACGTGACTTATTTTTTATTTTTTTTTTTTTTCCTTTACCAAGTATCGATTAGAGTTACGATTATTTAGGAAAAATAATGTACAAAAAAAAAATAATAAATACATAGAAAAGGCGTTGGTGCAGAGTAGAAAAACAATAGATAAATCTAAAGAAACACGGCGCGCTTAAAGATTACGTAGCTTTTTCTTTCTCCTTCTCTTTTTCCCATTCGCAGGTATAAGTAGTATAGTTTTTTTATTCACGTATCGTAAACACACTCGGACTCTCGCGGCGAATCATATTTTATATGATAGCATTTCATGCGATTTGAATTCTTTTTTTTTTTTCCTCATTTTTCGCATTGCGACGCGTCGGGGGACTAATAATTTGTATTGCGTGACTAGGCCTTTGTGTATTGTATTTGGTACACTTTTTTTTTTTTTTTATAATACGCGCGCGCCTCTTTTTGCTTTCGCGAGAGTCGTTGCTCGATACGACGACGATTAATCTTTGGATTGTTTGTTGTTTCGTTTTCAGGGAACAACTTTTTTTTGGGCTTATTTTGTTCTTACTGGGCAAAGGAGGTAGAGGGAAATCGAGAAGGGAATCGTTGGGAAAAAGGCACTTTGGTACGCTAGGCCATGCCTGTTCTTTTCCTTTCTTTTTTTTTCACTTTTTCTTCATTTTCAATTATTTATACGTAGAACAGATTTTTTTTTTACATCATTGTGTTAGTGTGCAGACATGCTTACTTTTTTTTGTTGGTTTTTAATGAAGCTCAACTCATAAACAAATAAAAAAACACAAATGATAAAATTAAATTAAATAATATATCAATATACAAGTAACTCATACACGACAAAAATAACTTTATATACACATTAATAATGAGGAAAAAAAAGGATCGTATGCTCAATGGACTTTTATACTCAATTGGACTCTGGGAGTATACACGATCATTAGTAAGGTCACTTTCATCATTCTTCCTTTTTTTTGTATATGATTATTTTTTGGTAATTATATAATTGTCAAAAAAAAAAAAAAAAAAAAAGTTTAACAACAAAACTGCACGATTTCGGTGTTCTTCATTATTATAAACAACAAAGAACAAACAAACAGGCAGTAAAAATTATTATTTCTTTAAAAAATCGTACGAACATAAAAAAGTGACAAAGAAAGCCAAATTCGGCCAAACACTCTAAATTGTAAGCTTAAACGATATCGAGAATAAATTAAGTACTTAATAAGACGGTGTCTCGGACACGACTATAAAATTTCAAGCGTCATGGTCCTTTTAATTTATATTAATCTCGATTTGATTTTTAAATAAAATAAAATAATAAGCAACCAATATCCATCCCGTTAAACAAATTTGCAACATTTCAATTAATATTTGCTTTGTTTGTTAATAATTCAATGACAGATGAAAAGCGTTAGTGGAATAATCGAGGCATTAGTATACGCTTATATGCATAATAGAGGTATCAACTTTTTGCTTTTTTTTTCTATTTAAAGCCAAGTCTGATATTCAAGGTACTTTAAGATTTACAAACGGAAAGTTAAAAATCTGCAGGACAAAGGGCAATTGTTTTTCGAATGCTGGAGTTGCATACAAAGGTATCATATCTCTTTTTTTTCTACGTAACGCGTACACAAGGCGCACTGCGTGGAAGCCCGGACTAGGCATAATTATGTGGGCGAACGACTAATACGAACAAACAACATCAATAAAAAAAAATAATAATAATAATAATAAAGCAAAAAAAAAATTTAAATAAAAACGAATAAAACATATATTATGCGATTTTTTTTTTTTTGAATAAGATATACAATAAACATCGATTAAAGATGAATAGATTAGTGCAAAGGAAGTGAGTAAAGAATTAGCAAGGAGGATAGCACATTGAAAAAAAGATGAAAAAATTGAAGAAAAAAAGTGCATGTGAAAGTAAGAAAAAAGAAAAAGGCCGGCTAGCATGTCTAGAGGCGATTGGTGCGGGAATAGTACCAGGATAGGGCTGGTTGTTGTTGTTGTTGTGGTTGTTCTTGTAACTGATTCTGAGAATCAGTATGACTTTGAACACGCGGCTCTACCTTTACGGGACTCGGCCCGGTCGTTAAGAAACTGTCGTCCAATGCCATTGACGCTGGTGAAAACAGTACCGACGTATCCACACTTTTGCTCTGCAACAATAAAAAAAAGTCGCACCCCCGTTATGACGTATCGACCATTAT